TGTCCCACTAGACAACGCAAACTATATATAATGGCTGAAAGTGTGACAGCTGTGGGTGCGTTGCAGTTGCCGTATACTTCTTCATCAGTTCCCGTAAAATCAAACACCGCGTCACCTGTAATCTCGTTGATATCTATTGTCAGCTGAATTTTGGTTCCACTGTCCATATGATCCAGAGCAAATAGACTGCGGCTTTCCAGTGTTTTAGCCATTTTCTTAAGCATATCCCTTACCGCCAACTCAGCATTTGTCTGAATATAACTCATATACGCCTGAACCACATCGAGACCATAAAAATCGATGAGTTCTGTTACTAAACTGATGCCCTTTTGGTTGGCGGCCACTTGAGCTCTCAAATCACTTAAGTTATCGCTCAGAGTTCTGGTGCCACTACAGCCTCGATATTGTGACGGAGACATCAATATTTGAGTGACACCTTCTTCTTGAAAGATCCCTGACTTCACTAATTTGAATGATTTAACGGCCGCTCCCTCTTCAAAAAGAGTGGTCGAGTGCGGAGGCATTGAACCTATCGTTGTGTTCAAGTTTCTTAATGTTGTCATCTATTACAGGAAAATTTAAAAATTTATACCTGGAGTTAAACCTCCTATATCTGCGTGATGTCCACGATTAGCCACAAAAAATATAGGATCTTTTTGGTCCGGATAAAAAACTGGAGTAATAACAGTCAGGTCTGGTAAATGACTGCCTAATAATATTGATGGTGTTAATAATCACATGACATAAATCATATTTGATTTACTAGTATACCTCCGGCTTGTGGATGATTGGTTAGTATGACATCTCCTTTATTGAGATCATCCTTCAAGAAATTCTTTAAAATAAATGGTTTTGTAATCAAATAAAGAATTAACATATTTAGCAAATCAAATTGTAAGATCATATTTGTTTTAATTTACACTGGTACAATTTACAATTTACAGTAATTGAAAAGTCAAGAATATTCAGTCCTGAGACATTACAATGAATATCAGAGTAATACCAGGTATAGTGAACTTAAATATCAATGGGTATTACCGGGTATAGTGCACTGACACAGTCCGTCACTTTTAACTAAAATAAACTAGTTGACTTGAAATAAAATGTGACTTACTTTAAAATAGTTGATCTGGAATTCCACGGCTTTACCCATAGATCCCAAATGGACGGGAATGTGAGGCGCGTTACTAACAAGACCTCCATTTGGGCCAAACAGAGCGCAAGAGAAGTCAAGCCTCTCCTTAATGTTGGTTGAGATGGAAGTCCTTTGCAATACTCGACCCATTTGTTCGGCAATACTCATGAAACGATGCGAGAAAATTGAGAGTTGGATCGCGTCTAAATTAGTTCCTCTCATAGTTTGCTTCACTTTTTCGACATTAATAACAATGTTTCCGCTTTGGGTTATAATAGCTCTACAGTTGGGTTCCACCAAAACTGTAAAATTTGGATCTATTATAACAGCCGGACCTTGAATCTCGTGTCCAAACGCTAATCCTTCCATCAAATAGACGGGTGTTTCCAAAAATCCCAATTCATCGAAATAACAATTCACTGTATCGTCAACTGTTGGCTGAGAAGTAGTTTTTTGTGTCGACTTAGTGTCTGATTTAAACTCATTATAGGATCCAACGCCTCGAACCCTAATATCGTCGACAAGAATATTGCGCTCAGATATTGTGAATCCAAACTCTCTTTCATATAATTCTAGAAATGATTTCTTAAAGTTATTTTCAGTGCAGAACTTCTTTGAATTTTTGGATAGAGAATCAGTTTGTGTCATAACAGGAAAGTCTGTCTTTTCATATCTCATATTCAAATAGATTTCAACACTTATGTCATTATCTTGAAACCCTTGTCTCTTCAATTCTTCCACACATTTGTTAATCAATTCATGAATACGTTTATCGATTTGAGTAAAATATTGATCGTTGTATTGAAAAGATGTGGGAATCGTTTCTTCATGAACCACATCAGCCAAAGCCATACCATATGCCGATAGAATGCCTGCATATTTGTGGACAAACACTTTGGACATTCCTAAAGACCTGGCCACAGCACATGCATGTTGCCCACCTAGTACATTTAACAATTTTTTATTTTGTGAGTAAACAATGTATTTAACTTATTATGGAGCTTAAAAAACTAAACACCTGTACAATATTGCTAAAGTATATAATTTAAGACATTTAGCATACCTGCGCCACCAAAGCAGGCGAGAATATGATTTGAGGTGTCGTGTCCTTTCCCTTGGGTAATGGCTCTTATGGGTCGACACATGGCTTCATTGGCTACTCTAATGAAACCCATCGCTACTTCTTCTATAGTTAATAGTTTTTTATCATAAGATTCCGAAGATTTAACGAATTCATTGATTTCTTGAGTCAATTTATTAAAGGCAGCGATTGTCGAGTCCTTATCTAACGGCTCATCTTTTTTAGGGCCAAATATTTTAGGGAAATATTTCGGTATAATTCGACCCAAACATAAGTTAGCGTCTGTCACAGTAAGAAACCCATTGTTCCGATAGCATACCGGTCCTTAACATATAAATTTAATTGTGTAATCAAACAATATACAGCAACAAAATATATATATTAATAAGTTATGATAGGTATTACCTGGAAAGGCAGCCGCACTCTCTGGCCCCACAACGAATAAACCCGTCTTTACGATATAATAGTTAGTTTACAATATTAAATAAAATGGACACTGGTTAAAATATTAAAAATGCTTTCATAACTCACTCGGAAATATAACTTAGAGCCTCCACCCGCTGCTACAGTATGTATATCTGAAACAATATGTAATGTATAAATGTTATCTATCTAATAACATAATATGCAATTATTAAATGAATACCTAATTGAGGGGTTTGTATAGTGATTCCAGCGGTGGTTGATTCAAAAGTGTGCTCAAATGCAGTACTATAGCGACTGACATCAGTGGACGTGCCTCCCATGTCGAACCCTATTATTGGCGAGTTATCGTTTAAGTCCATATAAGTGGTGTTGGAATAGCCAACTACTCCGCCCGCCGGACCACTTAATATGGATCGACAGCCACTAAATTTATTAACGGGAGTTAACCCTCCGTCCGATTGCATGAATAATACGTTCAAATTGTTTAAACCATTTTTGAAACCCGAAGAAAATCCGTTAATGTATTTCTTGATATGAGGGGTAAGGTATGCGTCGGCACATGCAGTCAGTCCTGTGGTTGTGGTTGTGGTCGGAGTACAACAACATTTAAAATTATAATAATTACAAACAAAGAAATTGTTAAAACCTCGGGGAACAATCTTAACCATAGGCATCACATGAGATGATAGTGTGATTTGAGTGAATCCAATCTCTTCTGCGACCTCTTTGACTACTTCTTCGTGTTTTGGATACGTATACGAGTGAAGAAGAGCGACCGCTAGACTCCTTATACCACTATCAAAAACTTTCTGCAAGTTTTGCCTAAAAATATTAATTAATTAATTAACTAGCATAGAACTGGGTAGAAATATATATATTATTTGAGTATATAATATGAAAATAATAACTTTTGTGTCTTACCTTAATGTTTGTGTGTCAATAGTTTGCCAGACCTGCAACACATCCCCGGTTACACCAACAACTTCTTCACAATTTGTTTTATCGATTCTACAATTTTGTTGTTTGAGAACAACTCTCTCTTCCACTTCAACTACTTCTTCGTACAAAAGTTGTGGACTTTTGATATTCAATTCAAAGATATCATCTCTCGATTGATTGCCTATTTCTAGTATGTCTCTAAAACCTTTGGTCACAACTAAAGCAATGGGTTCTCCTTTGCGTTCCAGTAAAGCATTGGTCGCAACCTATGGTTACAAATATACTGAACAATGAATTTCTGTAATTAAAGATAATTTGATTGGAGTTTATATTACAGTCGTTCCCATTCTTATCCATTCAATAAAACTGGAATCGATATTGGATTGGTCCCCATATTTTCCATCTAATTCTGATCTAATAATTCTTGTAATGGCTTCAAGTGGTGCGTCCTTATAGTTGTCGGGATCGACACTCAAGAGTTTCATGACTCGAATGCGTCCATTCGGACAAATGGCAAACACTATAATGTGATTCAATCTTTAGATTAACTCAACAACTTTGAAATAGGGATACTTGCCATCAGTAAAAGTGCCACCCCTGTCTATTGCAAACTTAAACATTTTCACTGTAAACTAGATTTTATTTTAATTGAATTAATTAAATTACAAAGAATAGTAATATTTTATAAGAATATGTTTTTAGATTATTAAAAGGAAATCTCAGATATTTATAAACTTTTCTTCTGATAATTTATAAAATAGTGATTTGTTTTAAAATTTTGTTTATATATTAATTATCTGATTTCAACAAATAGTAATTTTTTTAATTTTAAGCTTACATTTTAGTATAAAGTATAGCAAAGTATATCTAAAATTGATATCTACTGCACTGTGTATTAATTTATACTGTAATACTGTAGTGTATACTGTAAGTGATGAACAGCATAACGAATAACAAAAATATTAATGAAATTGTAATGAAATATAGCGGTTGTCTATGATTTGACCTACGTTGATCGGATCTACAATATCTACAATACTAAAATATTAACGGTTTCGACAATCGAATCATCGCATGTGATATATCATTGGAATCAGCTCAATAAGTAGGT